GGTGTGTGGAAGGTGTGCGGAAGAGGGGGTAGTCTTATACGGCGAGTATATAACAAACTCTGTATTTTGAGTGGAAATGTTAGGGGGTCGTCTTATACGCCCAGTCGTCTTATACGCCGGCAAATACGGTAAGTGGCTAGTACACTGTAGTAGTTGGCTGTTCTTCCTTGGTGGGGGATTGATTTTTAGTGATTAATTCTACTTTATAAATCCAGTGTTCAGGGGTGCACCCCACCCATTGTAGGGTGTTACCTCTAAACTCCACTTTCTAACCTGAGACTAGGTTGGCCACCTGCTTCCAGGGTCTTTCTTAACTTCACAATAAGAGTGAACAGAGGACTTGTTCACAAGGATAAGTGTGTGGCTGCCACTTTGGGATTAATAATTAGTCAGCCCAACTCTTAATGCCAGTGTGTGGGCACCAGAGCTCACGGACTATAAAAAGAAAACGGGCTTTTATAATAACAGCGGACATTGTGATCAGTGACTTACCCAGTGCTGTGCGCTACGTATTGACTGCATTTTACAGGGATCATCTCATTCAGTCATCATAACGAATCCATGAAGAAGGTCCTGTTTTCACTCGAGTCCGTGTATGCACACACCAGCAAATGCCAGACACTGACACAGGCAGTCTGGCTCCTTCCTGAGCGCTGTGACTTAACTACAGTCATGTAGTGTGTCAACATCAGTGCTATCGACAAGTGGTAAGGCTGCGTTATCCCGGGGAAGGATGTGTTGGCTGAGGGAGGGTCTCCTTACAGCCTCATGTGCCACAGGGATCTGACCTGTGCTCCGTGAGGCTGGACGACCAGAGGTCATTTATGAGAGGCTGGTTGTCCTGGACAGTGAGTCCTAGTGGGACATTTGCAAAAATCATTGGACTTTTAGAAGTAAGATAAGAATAAAGGCCATTCTCATTGAAACTGATGATTTAGTTCAGCAGAGACCCAGCACCAGCACCAGTACACCAAGGCACCAACAGCATTCTCTCTCTCTTTCTCTCTCTGTCTCTGTCTCTGTCTGTCTGATTTTATCTCTCTGTCTCTCTTACTATAGGCCAGTTGCTTACTTTATATGTATTTTCTCATATAATCCTCAAGTTATTGAATGACTTGCCCAGTATCACAGCTAATGACTGTCCGGTCCAGGATGAAAGGAAGGCAGCCTGATTCCTTATCCTGTAGGCATGACCATCGGGTCCCAGGGTCTCTTTAGAGCATATCTGTGCGTAAGAGAAGGGTCATTAGGCTTTGGGCGGAAAAGGACTTACATTCACTAAAGAAAGCAGCTTGCCTCTAAACCGCTAGGTGGAAAAGTGGGTGTGGTAACAAGAAAGAACCGGGACTTCCAGGGTCAGAGAGAGAGGAGGACTCTGGGACAAGCTGGGCGCTGAAACAGAAATGATAGAGGCGAGGGGTCCACAGTTTCACCCTGGTGCCTCACAAGGCAGGAAATTAGAGTGGATGTTTGCTATATTTCATCTATAAAGAGCCCTTTCCCAAGACCAGGGAATTCAGATTTCGTTTTTCGTGTTCAAAATTAGTATAATCTTTCAGGTGGTATATACAGAATATTGCTCAGATAGGTATCAAGTTTCACATATCAGATGGGCGCTCCCAGCAGCCATGAACTGTACTCTGTCCATCACGTTTTCACCAAAAAGCACACTGCCTGGCACATAGGAAATACTCAACAAGCACTTGTGTGCATTTATGAGCCTTTAGCTTTCAGTTAACTAATTACACACCATTTGCAGTGTTAAACTCTCTTCTGATTTCTGCATTTGAAAACTTGTTTTATTTGTGGGACATATTATAGTATAGGAGAAAATAGTTGTCGCGAAAATTCAGTTAGTACTGGCTGTGTACCAGACGCTGTGTTAATTTCTTTAGATGTAATCCTTACATCAAAGCTGTGAAGTAAGTACTAATAGTATTTTTTTATAGAAGGGAAATTGAGGTTCAGAGAATTGACTAACATATTCACTGTCATAAACACATCAAGTAGTGGAATCAGAACTTAGATCAAATCAGTGTAACCTAGATGAACTGTGAACCGTTCTTTTGAAAAGAACCTTCTGATATTTACACCTTCAGTGGCTATACCTGGCCTGTTTCATAGCAGTCACTCAAAAAATGCTGACTAAATAAATGAACGAAAGGTTTCTTAGCCCAAACTCCCCCCAAAAGTGTAACTTCATAAAATATGTAACTTCACTATGGCAGCCATTCTTTTTTCAAAGTTAGACATCTATTGTCCACTGGTCACTTTTAGTTCCAGATGGACTCAGTTCTTGCAAAAGTTTGTTAGGGGGTGAATATTAATAATCAGTTACACCCCATTTGGCAGTGACCACAGAGGCATTGCAAACATATTAGAAGGTATTTGAAGTTTAATATAAATAAAGAGAGCTATGTATGTTCATTCCTACCACGTAGAACAGAGGCTGTGGCCTTTCGGTGGGTATGATGTGCCAGGATGCAGCTTATGCTCGCAGAGTAGCCATGTAGAGGGTGTTAACCCTCCTATGTCTTACAAGGTGGTGGAGAATTAGGGGCTGTAACTACTGAAAATGGTAGGGCTGGGCACTGTGGGTGGGAGCCAGTTTACAAGTTACTTGAAATTGGACCCCACAGTGTCTTCGGCATGTGGAGTGGGCACTGGCAACCCCTGACCTGTAGGATGGTTTTTTCTCTCCCAGTGTGGACCAGTGCTTCTCTGATGTTAATGTGCATACAAATCATCCGACTCTTGCAAAACTATAGGTTCTGACTCAGCACATCTGAATAGGATGGCAAGAGGTTTGCATGTCTAACAATCACTCCTATCTGACCATGACTCTGATCCACAGACCACACTTTGAATATTCATAGATGAGAGTCTGGGTGTGCCACTCACCCCTCGAGGGATCCTTAACATCTCTGTGCCTTGATTTTTTTTATGTATAAATTGAATATAATAGTAAAACTCAGCTCTGGCAATCATTGTGAACATTAGATTGAGGGTAACGGATGTGTCCTCATAGAACAGAATTTCTGTGTAGCGTAGAATTTACTACTGAATTGTATCGAGTGTTACTTTGAAAATATCCGTTTTGTGTCTATTTACTTTTATTCAATATGATGCTTTAATGTTTAAGGTAACCTATTAATAAAATAATTTGTATGAGAAACCAAATAACACACAAAATAAACCAGACTTTCCAGACTCTAAGGCAACTGCATGACCTAAACAGAAAGCCAGCATACTGTGCAGAAATTTGATACTGTTTACAATGTGAGTTGATCATGGGGACTTTTAATACTTTAGTTATAGTGTTACTAGCCCTTTCTCATCCGTTTATCTCCATAATAATGTTAAGTAATGTATTAGTGGGTAAAACTGGAACAGATAAACCCCCAAATCACAGTGATTTTACCAAATAAAAGTTTACTTCTTGCTCTGTAGAGTCCTATGCGGGTGTGCAGGACACTCTTCCATGTGGTGTCTCAGGGACCCAGGAACCTTCCATCTCATGGTCCCACCATCCTCCAGGGCCTCAGAGACATTGACTCCCAGCCAATGATGCGAAGAGAAGTCAGGCAGGAGATGTACCCACGTCACACCTACTGCAGCCCTGGAAGTGGCACAAATCTCTTCTACTTATATTCCTTTGCTAAGAATATGACCCCAACCCCCAAATGTAAGAGGGTTGAGAAATGCAGCTCCATGCTGGCAGTTACGTCCCCGAGACAATAGTGTATAAGGAAGAGAAGCTCACATCTCCCGAGAAGCTGTGTCTTCCTTAAGGTAACACCAGCAACTGAAATAAATGATCCCTAAAAATAGCCCTCATAAATTCTGCCTTTTCCTTCTCTGTTGTAAAGGATCCCAAAGTTCTGCCCTTTTAAAGTATCATTACTTAAGAAATACATTTAAAAACATTGTCCTTTCATTCTCTACCAATTCATGTCTGTCACGACACCTGAAGATACATTTACTCATGTCTGAGATGTGTCTTACAATCCTATTTCTGCTCTTTACAAAATATCCCTTATGATAATTACTTTGAGAGACTATTGAATCCACCATTTTTATGCTGACTTTGTGTTAGTCTCAAGTGAACATTATGGTCAAATTCTAGCAGAACTTGAACTCTAAGCATAAAAGTTATAAATGTGCAGCCAAAAATGCCCAATGCTAGCAGATCATGTAAATGTGTTTATTTCAATTAATCCTCACCATGTCTGTGTGCCGAGTTCCTCAATAAGTTGTTAAAAAATGATGTATAATATATGTATATGTCATTTTTATTCTTTAAATAGTAAAGGCTATCAAGATAAGTTCTTTCAGTTTAATTTTAACAAACTATGGACAATTTTGAGTTATAGATATTGATGTTTATGTTCTTAAAGGATTTTCCTAAGTTTTAGTTTGTGTGATTATCCCAAATATTACACTTAACTACTGATTATGTTCCTTCTAAATTTTCATGTGTATGAAAATATCTGCTTATAACCAATATTCCTAAGGTGTTGACAGTAGAAATAGATTCTCTAAAACCTTTCTCTACACCGGTTTTCAGTTTACTTACTACTTGCTCACAAGAGGCAGTTTCCTGATTTTCACATGCTGGCATAGAATGTGAACATTTGAGAGCATATTTATATCAAATACGATCTTATTTTATTTTGTATATATTTGTATTTTGTATATGTTCGTGTTTCACTCTGACCACTTTTAGAAGCTGTCTGAAGGTTAAAAATTTCATCAACTTGATGTGAAATAGAAAACATGTTATTTTGAGGTGATACAGTCCCTAAATTTCAGTTTATTGGCACCATAAAATTTTACATTTCACTCCTGATTGTCTTAGTTCACACTTTCTATTTTTATACCCTAAAATGACTTTTTATGACTGATGATGTTGACTATAGAAAAACATGTCCTAAAACTGTTTGGATTTCACAGGATTTTTGCCATTTACCTCAGTTTCCAAATTTCTATCTTTTCTGCAGTTTACCTGGGCATGAAAAGAGAAGTAAAGAAGAGAATTTCTAACATGTATGGGTTACTTACTATGCACCAGCCCTTTTTATACAGTCGGGAGCACTTTTCTGCATTCCCATATAAATACGTGGTTCTTCTCACAGTGGACATGTGCAGCCGGAGCGCAGGTAAGCCCATTTTTCAAATGTGATACCTGTGCAAGGTTTTCAGGTTCATGCCATAACCCCAGCAGGCTGCGGATCACACTATAACGAACTAATTCGTTTGTAAAAATGCACAGTTGCTTGATATGAAATTCTGAATCCTCCTATGTCCAGTATAAGAAAGAAATATCAATCAATGTTAGAACACCTTAGTCGGCAAATATCTCCACCCTCCTGGGAGAGGCTGGCTTCCCAGGATAGAAGACAGATGAGAGAATACCTCCAACAGTCCACCTGCATTGGTTGTTTGTGCCCTGGAAATCCCTCCCTCAGGCAGGTTCTAATAAGCCCCCTGGGACACATTGTCGTCTCTCCGGAGTCCCCTGCCGCCATAACCAGCTCCTCACCTTGTGTAGTTACTTGGGGTCACCGGGCTTGTCTGGGACCTTCCATCCCACCTCTGCGGCAACACAAGGGACCCAGATCACAGTGGGCATCGCTGAACGACAGAGGTTAATGCCGGGAGCTTATTCACAGTCACACTGGGTCTGCTTCTCTACATCCAGGACTGCCAGGAGTGACGTTGTGTCGGAGGGGTGCCCTGCGGCTGGCTGTGTTTCCTAACTGTGCGTCCTGCTAGGGTGAGAGCAGAACAGAGAGAGTGGCTTTGCGTCTCCTTCGGGGTGGAGGAGGGCACGCGCTACATCTCCCAGCCCACCCCTCCAGGCAGCCCTCGGCAGCTGCCAACTAGGTGGAGCCCCTCAGGGAAAGAACCTCGTTTTCTGGGGATTCTGCCCCATTTTCAATCAGGAACAAGAGGGGGCTCTGCAGCCCCCACAGGAGCTCCCAGAAAGAAGGTCCCTATCCAGCCTTCAGGCGCTTTCCTTTCTGAGGTCCTTAGTCCAAATGTGGCTGCTAACCAGGCTGCCTTATGTTACTCGACTGTCAGCTCCTCTTCGATGTGTTGTAGCATCCAGTCTTGTTGACTCTCTCTTATACTGCTATTCGTTTCAAGCATAAGAAAGGGAATTCAGTCTTCTCTAAATTTGTGCTGATTATTCTGCTATGGGGGTAGTTTAAGGAAAAAGTAATGCTAACTTAGTTGAACATATTGCTGGCAAGTAATGTAAGTATGTATAGAACTTGATCAATTCATTTTATATAGCAGAGAAATAGCTGCATGAAAGCAATAACTTGTGAACACTGATGCTGGATAAAAGAATTTTCTGTGTCATGGATTTAGGTTAAATATATGGAATACTTTTCTTAAGCCAGAGAAAATGACACTGGGATATATATTATGGAGTAAACTTACATTTCAGGAAACTGTTATTAGTTCAGTCCCTGTGTTTATGTCTCATCCACAAAGCCCCCCATAAGCATCTCATGCCTTATCCATAACCAGGGGAACAGAGCCAGGCACATAGAAAGTACTCAGTACTTTTCAATGTTAAACTTTCCAGACCCTAGAGTGAAAAGGGGTGTGTGTGGTTGAGGTGGTAGAGGGAGTGCAGAAAAAGGAAGGGGTTGCTACCTACAGGATAATCCCTTCAGCTTTTAATAGAATTGTCACAGTTTTGTGCTCCTTTGAATCCCTAATATCTCTTTAACTGATTGCACACTTTCCCAATAAAGACATCAAAAAATCAGAAGCCAAAACCTGCTTCACTAATCCTTCAACATGATATCCACAAAGTCCCATTGTTGATTACATTGTTATAATAAGACTTTGCAAAGCTGGCTTTCAGAGGATAATGACCAATGAGGGGATCGATTTCCAGGGACCACTGTAAACCGAGAAGAGGCCATGCCATGCCTGTGAGATCCACTCAGGCACCGGCTATCCAAGAAGCTGTTAGCGATTGACAGTGATTAATCCTAGCTATGGAGTGTTTACTGGGTACCAGGAGTAGGCTCCATGTATAACATGTATTATCTCAAATGATTTCCACAGCTTCATAAAATGGGTACTACCACCTTTGTCCTTTTAAAAAATAGGAAATTGGGGTTTGGAGAAGTTAAATATACTCAAAGTCATACAAGTAGTGAACGCGTGTCTGCTCCCTTAATACATGCCCTTTAATTTTTATTTTTTTTTTAAGAATCTGGCTCAAGAAAGAATGTGGAGAGGTCATTAATGTTTGGTTATCTCAAATTTAAGAAAATTGATATCCAATCAGTCTACAAGTATTTATTGAACACCTACTATGTCCCAGGCAAAATGCATGGTCAAATATATGATCTTTTTATGACTGACTAGATAAAAAATATTTCTTCAGTCTTAGAGTAAATTTTAAAAACAACTTATGGTTAAATTAATTCTGAAGTACAATGAGATCGTTATTGGCCATTATGGTATCAAGAGAGACTATTTCAATATCCCAGATAAGTGGATTGACAGATGTTATTGCTATTCTGAATTATTAGATAGTATTTTCCAAGGTTGTCTATAAGACAGTTAACCCGAATGCAGACTTCCCATGTAACCAAAACCCTCACAGAAAGCACTCAAATATTGGAACTGTTGATAAGTCTCTAGAAATACTGTGCGATACATATTGGGGAGGTAAGGAAGAGAGACTGTGAGAATGGGGATTGTGGAAGAGCAGTAAGGAAAATTGAAGACAGGGGGAGAATATCATAAAGGGGACCAGAGAAGGAAAGGGGTCAGGGCAAGACAGGATACAGGGAGGGGAGGACACAGCCATCCAGAGACACAGACATTCAGAGCCAGGAAAGTCACCAGGGAACAGAGGGACGATACACAACGAAGAGGGGCAGCTCTTCAAGAAGACGTAGCGATTATTCACGTCTATATGCCTAACAACAGAGAAAAAATACACACGAGGCAAAACCTGATAGAACTAAAAGGAGAGAATGATCAATCCACTGTTATCGATGGAGACTTCAACATCTCTCTATTGGAAATGGACAAGACCCCGCAGGCAGAAAGTCAGTAAGGACATAGCTGAACTCAACACACCATCAGTCAACTGGATACCACGGACCTCTGTAGACTACTTCATCCAACAGCAGCAGATTACACATTCTTCTCAAGCTCACATGCAACATTCGTCAAGATAAACCACTTTCTGGGTCATAAAACGCACCCGAACAAATTTAGAAATCATACGATGTCTTCTCTTAGACCACAGTGGAATTAGAGTAGAAATCAATAGCAGAGAGATAGCTGGGAAATCCCAAAGCATTTGAGATTAAGCAACACCCTTCTAAATAACACGTGGGTCAAAGAATAAATAAGAGAAACTTAAAATTATTTTGAACTGAAGAGAGTGGAGGGCTCTACTGAGCACATTAGTTGTACCAAATACTTCTCATTACTAGTAAACCACCCAATACTTCAGTTGAACTGAGGGTTTAAAAATAGCTTTTGTTTTAGAAATGCTGCATGACTCATGCCCACAACATTAGAAGAGAGTTTGTCAGCTCATCAGATTTTAAATTTTATTTTTTGAAACATAGACTCTGTTTAGTACTGACAGGTTTGTTCATGTGTAAAGAAGTTATTTCAATCTTAGATATTTACTTTCAAACCGTGGGGTTACGGGATAGTTTATTAGTCATCAAACAATTTGCCAATTTTTAAATTACTGACTTGTACATACATGTAATATGTATCACTTGCAGCATAAAACAATGTATGAAATTACATTTGGAACTGGAATAGTATATTTAATTTTTATCAAAACTTTAGTCTGTTCTTTTTAGCCTTGGAAAGAATGTCCTTAACTGGTGTGATTATGGTAGGCAAGATTTAAGAAAGCCAGAAATTCCATATCTAGTCCAAGGATGGGCCAAAAATTTATTTATATTCATTCATTCATTCATTCACTCAGTAAACATTTGCTAAGTGCCAGAATTACCAAAATGGGTACACAAAGAGTGCATTAGGACCCAGTCCTGTAAAAGAAATCACTTTCAGCCCATACGGCAAAAATATTCTTAAAGAACCTTCATGTTCTCCTTAGGACCTCCTCTCTCGCCTGTCCCTTTAGGTTTCAGAGAGATTCATACTTTGTAGTAAGGTTTCTTTTTTCTTTATGCAGCCATTTTGGAAGTTACAAATGAAAATAAAGGAGGACTGAATTACAACGAAATATTTTCCTATGCTTTGTAGGTTTTCCAAATAAATTTAAAAGGTCTGGGAACAGTAAATTTTTATATAATCCTGAAAAAAATAACTCTGGCCATGGGAGTTCATAGTGCAGTAGTTAGATTCATTACAGAAGGCATTGTGTTACCCTTAGGATGAGGCTCACAAGGATCAGGCCAGGAGGGAGCCACATGCCCAGGAAGTCACCACCAGAGTGACATAGACACTCCAGCTCACGATGAGAGAATACCGGAGGGGTATCTGATACCAAGGCTACCCTTTAGTCAGGAAGAACATCGGCACTGATAAGTCACGGAAACCCGCCCTTCATGGCTTCCAAATGTCCCGTCTAGCAGTACAGGAGGCCACTCAGCTTTGGACAGAGCAGCCTTAACAGAAGTCCCGGCCTTAACCCAGACTCAGTGACCCCTTTGTGATTCAATTGGCAAAGGTCTCAGGGGAACCCCTCTCCCTTTCAACCTGTCCTAGCCCTTCCAGTAAGAAAACATGGGGGACCTGTGATAAGGCAAAAGAATTCAGATTTTATTTTTGACATCCAACATTTTATCATCTGAAATGTGGGGTTTACAGTACATTTCTCTCCACAAGGGGAAGAACAAGAATTGGTTTATTTTTTCATCCCCCACACATTAATATTCCTAACACGTAGTGCTCACCAAACACTTGGTAAATAAAGAAAGGACCCTTTAACTACCTGTTAGCCTCATTTCCAAATTTTCAGACTTGAGCTATCTTCTGATTTCTAACCTCCTTCAAATCCCTCTAATTATGGGTTATAGTATAGTGGAACTTCAATTGCAGCTGATAATTATTGAGCACTTACTGTGTGCTAGATCCTACATAAAATGCTTTAATATAATCTTCACATTAAATCTGTAGATGGGTGCTA